CGCCCAGCTCTCCTGCCTGTCCAGGTCAAGATGCTTGATTTGGAAAACTAATTTGGAAATACATGGCTTACAGTGACCTCCACATTCCTCTTCCAGGATAAACAGAGTATTTACACTGCCACCGTAACTAATCCACAGGAAGTTTTCTAGTAATTTCCAGGTTTCTGGTGAAAATCTGTTGAATTTTGATTGTATTTGAGGCAGAGAAAATCTGAACTAAATCTGCCAGAGTCAGTTGTGTTAATTCAGACTTGCATCAGTATTATTGGAAACAAAGTGTATGTTTATATTAAACACATTGAGAGTTATATGTTCTAGGAATGTAAAATGATGCAGGTACACTGCTCATATTTGTATTCAGTTTATAGCAGCCAGTTACACACATACTCTTGGTTCAAGAGCTTTCCAGTATAAATTTACACAGGTAATTTTATCTCAGATTGTTTGGTATTTGACACAAATGCTTTATTTCTGGAGTAAACTGATAATAGAGCTATCTATTTTTGAACAGGAGACTTAACCTTCATATCTGTCAATGAAAGCTGGGAATCCTAAGTCTAGAAAACCAAAAGCACGGATTATTTCTACATAAATTCTCAGAGTTTCAGAGGAAAAGAAGGGGTTATTTTCATTTTAGTCTGGGTCTGGCTTGTTGAATGCTTGGGCCTACTGAGGCAGTGTGGGTTATACATATACATGTGTGGAGGTGTGAATGTGCACCTTTTCTTACACATTGAACCTGAACTGGACTGTACTGGAGCCTTTTTGAAGTTCAGTACTGTTTTTCCAAGTTTGTTAGTAACTGCCTACTGCATTGAAAATAGGAATTAAAATCTTCTGTGGCCAGACATAGAGGTTCACTATTACCTGGGCAGGCCTCTCACTAATGGGCAGGAAGGGTTGTTTTCTACCTAATAAGCTCGCAAAAGGCAGAAAATGAACTATCAGGTGACACCAGCATGATCGGTCTGCCACTCACAAGGAATACAGTCCCAGAAATCCACTCAAAAATACTTTTTTTCTTTTGTTCTTTCCTTTTTCTAGAAAAAGCAAGTGAGTCAAACAAAGATCCGGGTGATCTCTACCATCCTCTTCATCCTGGCAGGCTGCGTTGTCTTTGTGACCATTCCTGCAGTTATCTTCAAACACATCGAAGGATGGACAGCCTTGGAATCCATCTACTTTGTGGTTGTCACTCTGACTACTGTTGGCTTCGGTGACTTTGTAGCAGGTGAGCACCTTCAAGCCTAGGTGCTGTGTGCAAGGACCTTAGCTCTCAGAATTTGTTTTCTGATGGAGGGAGGAGGCCTTTCACAATGTATTATATTCCAGTGAATTGATGCCAGGTGTTTCTGTTGGGGTTACTGTACAGTATGACATCCAAGTTGATTTAAGGTCTTGCAATCTACAGCTTGCGAGATTTCAGCAGCACAGATAATGTGAGCCTGGGAAGTTCTGATTAACCTTTATCATGCAATTAATTATGCACAAGTCAAATGACTTTCCCATTGAATTCAAGATTTGTAGTAGTCCATTAGGTCTCCATCTGGGGCTGGTTGCTGAAACAAGCAGCCAAAACGGTGAATAGATGAAGGTTTTACAAAGCAGGTTTGAGCCATAGGGCTGGAGAAATCTCCGGTCAGATGCAGTAGTGGGCTTCTACTACAGGAGCTGCAGCATTTCAGAAGCTGCATTTTGTTCTCTAACCTTGGCAGAAATTTTGACATTGCAGTTGCCCTGTTAAGGAAAACTGATTTTGGAAGAGAAGGACTAACGAGGTATGCATGTTAGTGCTAGGAGGATTAATCACAATCCGTGATTAACACAGTGCTAGCCAGAACTATAAATAACCAAGAGATGAGATTTTAATTTTTTTTTTTTTTTTTTTTTTCACTTTACTGATTTGCTGACAAAAAGGTGGTTTAAAATAAGTGGATTTTTTTTCCCCATTAGTGCAGAACCCATACACTTCATTCTGTTAGTGGTCCTAATTAAAGGCTTTAAGACGCCTTTGTTACAAACAGCCATACTATGCTACTGTTTTATTACTTTCTATAAATCAGTAAAATATGAATGAATTAAAAACATCTGTAGGGATATATAAAATTTTCTTTGCTGGAGAGCTGTAGACAAGTCTTTTTGTAGACAAGACTGTGATCTTCCTTTTTTACAGCATACTGCTATAGAATACATGAATTATTGAGGAAAAAAAGGCATGGAACAAAGAGAGCCCCAGGTATAAAAAACCCCCAAGAGTTCAGATATAGAAGAGATTGTCTGAGCTTGGTCCATTTTAACCACTTAAATGTGAAGAAAAGCTTACTGATAGTCTGTCTTTGTGGTAGCGCAATGTGAAATACTAATATTAATTATATTTTTCTTAAGCATATCACACTTCAGTCTTGTTTTCTTTAATAACATAATAGTAAAAAAAGGCCTGATTATTAAATTAAATTGTCCTAAATCCAACATGATTAGGAGAATATAATCCACAGCTGGATGGCTACTAACACCAAGGATTTTTCAAAAATCAAATGGAGAACCCTCAATAAGAGAACTTCAGAGGCCATCCCATGGTAAGAGTTTAAGGTGGATATCACAAGTAGATTTGGGTTTCATTGCTGGTTTTGGGACAGATTTTCTCTCACTTTTCTGTTGCTTTAAACTCTTCATATTTCTGTCCTTTGATATCAAAAGGAAATATGTCACATTAGATTGGGTAAAACAGCATCCATGGAGGTATGCTTATTTATTCCCTCTAGAATGTGTTCCAACTCTTGCCAAACTGGGAAAGGTTTTGTACTGCTGTTGGAAATACAACTGTGGATGGAGCCTGGAAAATATGGAATGTCTGATAGGCTGAAAAAAAGTGGTCTCATGCTTTCTCAGTCGCCTGATTACTCTGTAAGACAGACCTAGACAATCTGCTTCATAGCAAGCTTCCTCAGGGACGTGTATGATCAGAAGAGCCTTGTTGTACCATAGCAACAGCAGCCCCCACCTCTCATTGCTTCCCACTCTTAAAGACTGGAAAAAAGAGAGTGATTTCTGTGGTGTATGGGGAGAGATTAATATCAAAACCAGTATCTGGGTCCCTGCCAATTCTCAAATGTCTGGGCTTCCATAGGGATGTTTGATTACTGTACATACCCTCATATGAGTCTGGATAAAAGTAAAGAGTCGTAGGAATGTCTCAGATTGCAAAAAGCTCAGGGGGAAATGCTGTACTGTGCTGTCCAGTGATTTAAATGGGGGAAAATCATAAAAGCTCTCTGTAGTTGTACAGAAGTACAGATTGTTGTCTACCTCTTGTCTCACCAAGACTGGAGTTCAGGAAATTCACAGTCCTCTGCCTGAGTACCCTGATAAGCTTGCTCTTCAGGCAGAGGTTTACACAGGTGCCATCAGGGCTGGTGTTGCTTCACCTGCATTGAGGGATATGGCTGTGCAGCTGCTTTGCTGCTCTCTCTTCAACTCAGGGCTGTGCCTGCCTCTCACAGTGCCTCACAACTGCAGCGCCCACAGCACTGTGATAGGCCTGGGAGTCTCAAAAGTGAGGGTGTAGTTGATTTTTTTCTGGAAAATTTATTCTGTTCTGTGATAGGTAGCAGCCTGTCTACTACTGCGTTTATTTTAGGCTCTTCATAGTCCATCAGAGTTGCCAAATGTCTCACATACTTGTTTTACCAGCTCATTCTAAAACATGCACGAATACAATAGATGATATTTGTTGCTTCATTTGATCCATATCACCTCTCAAGTCACTGGCCAGAGAATGCATCCATCTAACTGATACCCAAGCACATGGTATATCCTTATTATCAGGGCTGATGCAGAGTTGGCTTTCTGTCAGATATCCTAATTTGGAGAAGGCAAAGCTACTTTTCTTTCTCCTGAACATAGGTCTCTGAATCCCATAGTGAAAATAAATAAAAAAAAAAAAACAAACAAACTGGAAAACCCTATAACCCTGGAGGGTTAACTGTAAAGTTGCTCAGCTACAAGGCTGCAGTCAGTTCATAATAAGGAAGACTGTTAAATTTTTCTGTATTAAACTTTTCTCTTGGAAGTGTGTTCAGGCTGTCACAAGTACTATCAAAGCAAGAATTTCAGACTTGCTTCAGAGTAGGAGCAATACAAAGAGAAGTGTTTACTCTGGCAGGTCACATAGCAGCAGAACAATAGGTAATTTTGAAGAGTCTTAAATTAAAAACAGATGGTGTTCCTTTCATCTGACAGGCCTCGTCTATTATTAGAACTACTGTGGCATTGGCAAGAGTCAAGAAATACTTTCAGGAATTTCTCAGGATTGCAGATATTTTGTCATAATTGTGGCATGTCATGATTCCTAAGGATAAGTATATGCCTATTTCAGGAGGAAATGCTGAAATCCATTACCGGGAGTGGTATAAACCCTTAGTGTGGTTCTGGATCCTCGTTGGCCTTGCCTATTTTGCCGCTGTCCTGAGTATGATTGGAGACTGGTTAAGAGTCCTGTCCAAGAAGACAAAAGAAGAGGTATGACGAGTAATTGCTCAGTAGTTTGTCATTTTATAAGAGGGGTTTAAATACCTGATTTCTGCTTGCCTAAAGAAGGATGCTCCTCTGCATGCGTAATGCTCAGTATTCCCTGTGGTTTACTCCACTGGCTGCCTTTGGTATCCAGTTAGCTCTGATCTTTAGCTCCTTCACAAAGGGTGGAAAAAAAGCAACAGGAACAACCTAGGTTGTTACATCTCTATTGGTACTGCTACACATGAGTAGGATTGCAATTATGGAGTTAGAGAGGCCAGCCTTCACTCTGAAACTAGATACAAAATTGTGATTAAAATGTCAGTATTCTCTTTAAAAATTGCAGATGCATAGGTGTTGAAAACATTAGTTGACTCTCTTCATTATGAAACAAGAATCTGCCTTTAGACAAGGGTTTTATACTGTTTTCCCACCTTTCCCTATGTCAGGGAATACGATTCTGAAAAAGAATTTATCTTTGGGCCCCTTACTTATTATTAAAAACTGAAGAAATTCTGTAGTCAGCTTCACGTAGGATGTAATTAGAACATGTCCTTCATGGTTCAAAGACAGTATTGCTAATGCTTCATTCAAATAAGAGTGGAAAACAGAAGGCAATTACCATGACTCTAGACCTGGAGCCTATTGTGGAGGACGTTATAATTTCAATTTTTAAGGCTATCTCCTCCTATAATATTAGCAAAGCCAGGGTTAGCCAAACAGTAGGCATAGACAAAGTTTGGCAGAGGGCTAGTGCTGTTTATAATTTATGAAGGCATCAGCACTACCCAGTGCATCCCCTGTGCATCTCCATGAATAAAGAGGGCTTTACAGAGAGTTTGACTATCATCAGCAGGCACCTATAGGTGGGAATCTGATCTCTCATAGTGAATTTGAGGTGCCTGCTGCCACAAGTATTACAGTTCTAAATGGACGCCTGATCATCTGGCCTGAGGAACCAAAGATCCCTTGTGGATCACCGAATGCAGAAACTGAGTACTAGCTACAGCAGCCCAAGAAAACCATTGACATTGGTGGGCTCCTGCAGAAATTGTACTCCTGAATCTGTTCTCCTTTAGCTGAACTTTGGAAAAGGCCTGTGTTGACGGAGATATTGCTTGGTCATTTATCTTATTTTTTTTCTCATTTTGGAAGAAATATTTATTCAATACAGCAGCCATTCTTTATTCTTAGCCATTACTCTGCTCTCAGGTGCAAAGGACTAAAACAGAGCAAAGCAGTGAGACATTTAAAGACATACCCCTGGTGCCCACAAGGATACATGGTGACAATTCTACTAGCTGGATTGAGAGGGTGGTATTTGGACAGTTATACAATGGCAACCTCCATTAACGACAGCTACATTTGTCCCTGATAATGAATCCTAGACTCTATCAGTCAGAGGTCCACTGGAAATTATTTAATAGGTATCTCCGATGTTAATTGCTCTGTGGCAGCAAACAGAACCTTCAATGGGACTGAACAGCTCCACCCATGAGCAATACTGGAAAATGTTACTCTATTACTACACTGGCTGTTGTGCTGTTCTGAAGCATATTGGTATAACATGATGATGATCAACTATGTGAGATGAATTTTGCTTACTCCTGACCGTCTACCACTGATATTCTCAGTCAGGAATTTTGTTCTTATCCAAGGAGGGATTAGCATGAACACCTCCCATAATGTAACACAGCTATAAAATGCACAGGGTGGCAAAAATGTGAAACAGCAAACGAGCTGTATACCACACAGGCCATTCGCTAGTGACTAGTTGGTGTGTTTAGGACTTGCCCGGTATGGCCACTTTGTTGCTGAAGTTTGGGTCCAGATGGATGCACTGGAGCTGGGACCTGTTTCTAATCCCACACCAGACAAGAAAGTGCTTGTGCTACATTCCTATAGGAAAGACTGTTGCTTCACTTTTTCTTTTCTGTTTTCTTTTTTTTTTTTTAATGAATTTCTCTCTCTTGTTGTGAAGGTTGGAGAAATAAAAGCCCACGCGGCGGAGTGGAAAGCGAACGTGACGGCTGAGTTCAGAGAGACCCGTCGGCGGCTCAGCGTGGAGATCCATGACAAGCTGCAGCGGGCGGCCACCATTCGGAGCATGGAGCGCAGGCGCCTGGGCCTGGACCAGCGGGCCCACTCCTTAGACATGCTCTCTCCAGAGAAGCGCTCTGTCTTTACTGCCTTGGAAACAGGACGCTTCAAGGCCTCATCTCAGGAAAGCATCAACAACAGGCCTAACAACCTGCGCCTTAAAGGGTCAGATCAGCTCAACAAGCACGGGCAAGGGGCATCAGAGGACAATATCATTAACAAGTTTGGATCATCAGCTAAGATGACCAAAAGGAAAAACAAAGACCTCAAAAAGACCATCCCTGAGGATGTGCGTAAAATTTATGAGACCTTCCGAAACTACTCCTTGGATGAAGAAAAAAAGGAGGAGGAGACGGAGAAGATGTGTAATTCTGAGAACTCTTCTAGCACCGCAGTCCTGACCAACTGCATCCAGCAGCACTCAGACTTGGAGAATGGAGTGATCCCCAATGAAACCAAAGAAAGGGAACATGAAAACAAAACGTTACTTGAAGACAGAAATTAAATGTAAACCATGCTTGACTTGAATTAACAATGTTAATGTTTTTATATACGTATATATATTGAGACACGTGCCTTATACAGACTCCTTATTCAGTCTGAATTATATAGCATCGAAGAATATTTCACTGTGCCATAAAGACTCAAGCTTGCTCTGCCAAAACAATTCAGGAACGCAGCACTGCAGAATGGCAACAGAAAGCTACGCACATGGAAATTTCAGCTTGTGTAAGATTACCAGGACAAGACACAAAGGAAGAGACTGAACCACGGCAAATCACCAGAGTGCTCCTGCCATGGCATAATACGAGACAAAGGGCAGCTATGTAAGAAGAGCATTTGAAAGGGATGAAGAAGAAAGTGTCTTTGTGATGAAGTACGCATCTATAAAGCCTTCCCCTGGTGATTAAAAAGAGGAGAAATGATTGGAGTGAACTAGAAACTTTCAGTAAGGCTTAGTTTACGTTTCGGCACGTGATCCAAGCTAGGTATTTTTTTCTCATTTTTGAGTCAGAAGCATTATCTTTCTAAACTCCAAAAGAATGTCCATGGACACAGCCACCAGCTGGGCCGCTGGTTTGAAAAATCAACACAGACATATTAAGGGTCGGATTGCTGTTTTCATTAAAAAAAAAAAAAAAAAAAAAAAAAGAAAAACCACCTTTGTGAGTATTTAACTTAAGCAGTGGCAAAATAAAAAAGAAAGAAGTAAAATAAATGGATTTTTTTTCTCATGTAAGAAATACTCAGTGTAAACTCACAGCAAGAAAGCGTGTATGAAGAAAATGCAACATCATATGCTATGTTGTTTAAAAGAAGAGAAGCATTAATTTAATGATATTTGGCTATGAAACGGTGGGCCAACTGTTTTTTTTTTTTAATGAATTTATCATTCACACTACCACTGAAAAAAACCTTCAATTTTAATGCTGTAAAACTATGAAGACAGAAAGAATGCTATAGCTTTTGCATGTCAGCAAACTGCTGTTCTCTGTAGCTGAATCTGAATTTTTAAAGACAGATGTAAGAGCTTAAATGCTATTCAGAGGAGGGCCAGGGCAACCATTGAACCTCAGGGCTCTCTACCCCTTTTGCTGGGCTTGGGTTTAGACATGAGCTGCACTCATAATCTCAGAAAAAAAAAGAAGACATTTAGGAAAAGAAGTTAGAAAAATATGGTGGGAATCTTTTAAGTGCTTATAGCTTTAAGTGCCATTAATGCTGTCATATTTTGTAACTTTTTAAACAAGTATTTTGAATTATTTGTTTTATTTCCTTTCAGGTACTATTTGTTTGACATTTGCTATCTTTTTTCTTGATAAAATCTAAACACAAGCTTTCTGCGTTTCTAGACTAAAGTGAAATGTAACCAAACTGTGGGCATTTTTAAAAAAATCGTTTGTGGTTTCTGGACGTATAGATATAAGAAACATAAATGTCCCTAGACTTCACGGTAAATATTCCAAGAAAAGGCTGCAAAATAAGTAACAGGACTTGCAAAACACACTACATTTTTGGTAGCCTCAGCCTGTGGGCTACTGTGTTTGCTATTGCAGATATAAGATTTTGCATGCTGGAAATGAGATACACATAATTGCACCAGCAATGCTTTCACTGCACCGTCACAAAATTCTAAATGGCCTGCAATTCAAACTGTAGCCTTATTGATAAAGTATGCATGGATGTAGATGGCAGAGACATAGGGAGGCTTACAAGCTAAGCCAAGCATATAGACACTGGCAGATCATACAGACATAGGGTTTTCCAATTGCATGCCCATGTCTGCACACACAAAAATGTACACTTCATTTGTTGTGATGGTTTCTGAGATTTTATGCACAGTGAGCCAACTTAAAATCTAGTCACTGGAATACATGATTGCCATGGCTATGAATAGAAGCATGGCAATGCAAATACAAATTTGGAGTATGCCTATTTGCATATGGAATTGACTACACAACTTGCAAGAGTGCAATGTGGCTAGTGCAGAGGAGGAAAGAAGTTCTTGGTGTGTTCTCTATGCTGGTTCACTTCACTCGAAATATCATACAGTCTTTCTAATTTTATTTTTTGTTTGAAAATTAAGGCTAAAAAAAGGAAAGTTTGAAAAATTTCAAGTCATTTGGGATTGCTTTAACTCAATAAAATCCAAGAGAATTAGCTTACTGGAGGCAGGGCAGCAAGCCCAGTCTCCGGGGAAGGTTTCATCTGACTCCAGAGCTGCTGTGGCTCCTGCAGGCTTTTGTGCCATGCAGCCGCATTCTCTACTTCACAGTAACATAGATGGCTGTTTGTGGCCATCCTCTGATCCTGTTCTCCTCAAGCTGCAGGCAGACATCTGCAGGAGGCAGGTCTCTTCAGTCATGGGAGTCCTTTAGCCCTCTTGTTGCCCCTGGCTTTGAGCAGGCCTGGGATGAAGTCTAGCCTCTCGTGCCACACATGAGCAGATTTTCTGAAGTCTCACTCAGAAACAGAGCAAGTCATATTGTGCTAATTCTGTAATGCTGTCCCAATCCGATGTCGGGGGAGGTTTTGATACGATCCCAAGAGTGCGATTAAGACACAAGCAAGGTCAAATGCCGTACACCCAACACAGTTTTTATTACGAAAAGAGAACAACAGTAGAAAAGAGTAGCAATAGGACAGAGTGAAAATAAAAGGCAGAAATGAAACAAACGGTCAGTAGAGAGTCGCCAGAGCAGTGACCACCATGGGCCCGCAGCGCGCCGTCGGGCTGGAGCCATCTCAGCTTCGGGGGTGGGCAATGGAGCAGCAGCGAGGTGGTGAGCAGGCCAAAGATCCCTGAGCAGGCGAGCCCGTGGTGAGCAGGTGAGGGAAAAGAGAGAGGGAGAGAGAGAGAGACCTGGGCAGTGTCTACACCGGCTCAAATAGGGTTTGGGCTGGGTACTGATGTCCCGGCCCAAACCCTTAAGTCCTCTCCAGGCTAGTGCAGGCTCTTTCAGGGGCACGCAGGTACCATGTGTGTGTTGCAAGCGGAGGGGCTGCCGGCCCTGGGCATGGGCGGCCCCGGGCACAGGGCCTGTCCTGTGCGGACGCCCATGCTGCACCTCCCCAGCCGGGGGTGGGTGTGACAGGCCGACAGTGCGCCCGGGGCTTTTGGGATGGCCCCTGACTCACGCACGTGCTCGGCACCTGACAGCGTGGTCCGGGCCCAGACAAGCTCTGCCCAGCTCACACAGCTCTTCCACATGTGCAGTCCTCCATCCAAGGCTATCTTTGAGAGAGACACTCCATGGTTTAGTCCTTCACAAGTGCCAAGATAGATGAAGCATACTTGGATGTACTAAGTTTTTATGTTGTTCAGAACTGGGGTTTTATTGTGGTCTGGCAAGAAGTTAGGAGATAAAGCTGCAATTTAGATTTGCTTTTAAATTCCAAAAAGGTTCAAAAGAGCTCAGACGTGTGATTTAGTTTGCAGGAATTAAAATGCTGCCTGGTTATACCACCCTGCACTTTGCTTGTATGGAGTGTCAAGCACGTAAAAGCATCTCATTTGACAACACATGCTTCATACTGCATAGACTCTGCTAACTGTTCTCCTTGGTTACTGAATGCCAAAACCAACATCATACATGCAGTGTTATTTGTTCCTCACCTGAGTGCTTGCGAGAAATGCTTGTCTGTAATGGAAAAGTCCTGCATGGATGCACAGGCAGCTGTAAGGATATGGGAGATACATTTCCTGTACGTGGAGTTTTAGGCTTAGTCATAAGCCAGAGCATTTCGGCTGATTAGGATCAGGGAAAGCCAAAGTCTGTCTTGTAGAACTTGTCTGCCTGAGCCATGAAGTTGAAAACAAGCCAATGTGGACAGAGGAGGCAAAGTTTGGTGGCCAAATTCAGAACTGATTCCTCTGATGGGATAGAAAGATAATGCAATCTTGGCATATTCCTCATCTCTAAACTTTCTGAGTTCTCAGTCTGTCCCTTGTCCGGATTCTAGCTGATGATGCGTGTGTCTTACTCTAGTTTCTGCCTAGTCATGCCTTGCAGGAGTCTCTTCCTGACATTTCATCAGCTGTGACTTGAGCAGCTGCTGGTTTGGGATATGATAGTTTCAGGGACAAAGGGTGATGCTGAATAAAATCCCTGTGAGATACTGAACAGAGCATTTAATGACCTTTTACATGAAAGCAAAATGCTCTCTTTCAATACCAACACATTTCTGTGTGTGAAACTTGCTGAGAAAGCTGCCAGTCTGCTACTGGAGTAAGTACTTTCTCCTGTATGATTGCTCATTATGTACCCCAATACACATTTTTTATAATGGGAAGGGCAAATGCTGTATTGCACAGGGGACCAGAGAGAAACATCTGACAATTCAAATAACATTTTAATGTCCTAAATTACTTTTCCCCTTGTAAAGGCCATCCCTTGGTTTTAGTCATATGCAACACTTTGAGAGAGAATCTCAGTTCAGACGTCAGGTGGTTTTATGTCTAAAATTCTCATCCTTTGGCTGTAGAAATATTTTTATAATATTTACTAAAAACTTGTGATGCTATTGCTAGTGAGGCTGTTCCACCACTATTGAAAGTTTTAGCAAAAGTTTGTCTGAACCATAGCCCAAACTCCTTGATCTAAATTACACACTTTCACAGTAGCCGCAAAATAAAAAGTCAAACAAAAGGGTGACTTACTGACTTTAACTCTCAGATCCTTCCCTGAGCATACGACATGACACCGAATTGGGACCTGAAAGAACAAAGGAAATGGATTTTCTGTATCTGCAGCCTTCATATGTAGAGGATGACTCAGCTTCTGTTTTACTGCAGCTTTTGGCTTTGCAGTCCCACATTCTACTGCCTTGTGCAGGAGGACTTTGTCATGCTCTTTTGGGGATGCTCCCGTTAAACCATCAGTGAACTTGTGCAGATTTTGAATGAGTGGTTTTGAAAAGCTTTGTAACTTCATCCATGTGTCAGTCTGTGAATTTCATTATTATTTAATAGGGAACATTATTTCTAATAAATTATATTAGGAATAATAGTAAATAACATCCCCATCCCCTCTGGCCCCCAGTGATTTATATTAGTGAAATCTGATTTTAGTCATTGCTATGAAATTAGAAAACAACAGATCTTCTGCTGTCTGGCTTTATGATGTGTCTAGTACAGGTCTGCTTCTGTCAAAGCCATTAATGGGCTATGCCAGAGACTTTCTGCAAAATTCTCTAACCCACGATAAATGAAAATACGTTTGTGAGTTTAGGGTGTTAAAAAACTCTTTGAGTTTTCCAAGTAATTTGAAGAATTTGTGTTTATGCTGTACATGGGCTGTTTGTTTGCCAGCTTTGGTCTTCTCAGGGGCTTATTCGTGTTGTCAGGTGTCATGATGTGAGGTTATCATGATGTCTGCTAGTCTAACTTTTCACATCCACTAATAACACATTACAGGCTTTATCTTATGTTCTGTACTAACTTAGAACAAGAAGTCTTCTAC